TCGGATACCGCGAGTAGGCCGCAATCGGCAGCATTAAGTAGTCCCGCAGAGACGCCAAGTTATCACGAAGACGACGGCATCTCTCCGTGCCTCAGCCCTACAGCGAGATCTGCATCACCCGGCAAGCCAAAGACACAAAAGTCAAGTTATTTATCTCTCACTCTTTTCGTTATCCTATCTTTCTCTTTAAAGAGTTAGGTTGGAATTTCCCGGTTAGACTAGAGAGTCAACTTGACCTGCTACACGCCAACCTCCTCCCGGACAGCCAGAGCCAAATACGGAGATCGGAAGTAGACTCCATACGGACCCTGAACGACCTGGCCACGGCGGCCCAGAATAGCTTGCATCAGCGAAGGATGGAGTGGACGGTACCAGACCCTCAGGCGACTCTATACCCTGAGTTAGCGTACCACCCCCGCACAAGGGTCGTAAGGGCAAGGTAGCAGCCATGTCCGGGGACAAACCGGAGGTTAATGACAGGTTGGACCGCTTGGAGAAGGTACTCGAGAAGGTGACGCACCAGGTCGTCTACACGCCGACGCCCTCGGGGGCGACACCTAATCCGAGCCTGGAATCGGTCGATGGCGAAAAGAAAGTCCTATCCCCCGACGTAGTGAACCAAATGCTGCTGTCTCTCAGGGAGATATCGGAGGGGATAAAGAATATTCGCGCCGGCAAAAACCCGACTTCCGAGGACCGAGCCAAGAGACCGGAGACTCCTCGCAGACGAGGAAGAGATTTCTCAGGGCCGATCAAATGCGCCGAGTGTGGCCTACTGGGGTACAGCAGGAAGTACTGTCTCCAATGCAATAAGGGAAACGAGGAAAGGAGTGGTTAGTTGGGGTTGACCCCACTCCTTCATCCCGTAACCCAAACCCCGTTAAGGAGATCTCGCGGCCTTCGTCAGTACAGCCCGCACTGTTAGTAGCGAGTGTGTTGAGCGACGAGAGCAAGAACTCCCTTGGTGACGCCAAAGATGAGCGTGGCGGTAGAGTGCACGCGGAGAAGAAGGGTAATGACGTTAGTAAAGCCCGAGACCCTGGACCAGCCGAGGTGGTGGCGTATGAATCGCACACGCCCACGGGGGCACGGGCAAAGGCAGATAAACCGTCAAAGGATATCGACGTTAGTAAAGCCCAAGACCCTGGACCGGCCGAGGTGGTGGCGAATGGATCGCACACGCCCTCGGGGGCACGGGTAGCGGCAGATAAATCGTCGAAACGTAATCCCATGGAAACTCCAATCGTCCGAACCAAGGTGGTTCGGACGACAAGTGACGTCACTCTACCACGCGAGAGCACAGTGGCTAGCGCTATGGTGTATAAGGAGCAAAGCTGTGGAGCCGTCGAAACTGTTTCTTGATATTCCCCGGAACAGGAGACGCGTTGGTGGCTACCGGTGAAAATAGGGGACTTCCAAATACGGGCCCTCTATGATCCGGGAGCTTCCACCACAGCCATGGGTAGTAATGCTCTACAGATAGCGTTTGTGTTAGGCGTCAGATTGGACACCACCCACGCGGGTACAGCAGGACTACCAGACGGTCGTAAGTTAACGATCGTTGGTCACGCCATGCTGCCGTTCACCGTGGGGGAAAAGACGATGCCGACGAGAGTAGCTATCCTCCCTACCCTCGTCGATGAATGTATCTTAGGAGTGAACTTTATTAGGTTGTTTAGAGCAGTACTGGATCCAGATGATGATATATTACTGCTCAAGAAATCACAAACCAAGATGAAACTAGAGGTAGCTAGTTTGGAGGCTGGTCCGAGATTAGCTACTATCGGACTAGCCGAAGCAACAGCCTCTCAACGGGCGATATTGCGGAAGACCATCGGCGAGGCCTTATCGCAGGCCCCCGTGGGACTGGGTCGTGCAACAAGCATCGAATACGAGATTCAGGTCAGTGATACGGTATTATCCAAGACCGAATCTCGACATACTGCCTCTACAGTGCCCGGACTGGGACACCTTCGGTTCGCACGAATATCCTTCAGTCCCTCGTACGCCGACGCCACCTTCCAACGGTTGATAGATAGCGTGATTGGACCCGAGCTCGGCGGTTTCGCCTTCGCTCGTTTGGGCGATATCATTGTAGTATCGTCTGAATTAGGAGATCACCCGCAACGTCTTAAAACCGAGTTGGACAGGTTGCGTAGGGCTAGCCTCTCGACTAATCGAGAGAAGAGTGTCTTCTGCAAGCCTGAGGCCACATGCCTTGGTTTGCTGATTATTCACGATGGGACCCGACGACGAGATGACGACGAGATCTCTACCACCGAGGGAGCTAGGGCGACGAGCGTCCCGCCTAATGCGAGCGATGCGATGATACGCGGAAACGGATGCGCCGACACTACAGGCGACACACTCCGGAATGACAACGCGACAACTTCGAGCCCACCTCGTTACGTCCCTTCCGATTCCTTCGTCAAGATCCCTATAACCACCCCATCAACTAACGCGGGGAAGTGCCCGCGAGGGAGACCTTGTGAGTACGCGCTAACCACACACACTACACAACATCGACAGACTACTCGAGCCCCTCTTCCCATCGTCGGGAAAAGGAAGAGGGGCAGACCACCGAGAACGCTAACTGTGAATGCATGAGACACGGCGAACGAAGGACCTGGGAGACCGACGCCAAGGACCCCACCTTCGACCCCGGCGACGAAGGCCCTGGGCAGCCGAACAGGCGCCCACCTTCGATATCCGAGAAAAATGTCCGGGATACTGACGTATAGAATTTTGCAGGATGCAGATTACGCTCGAACAATTTGAGCAGGTGGCGGCCGCCCTCATCGGGTTAGATTTGGGCCCCGCCCTCGAAGGCGTCATCCACGCTGCTCTACACCTGCTGTAGCAGAAGAAGTGCGAGGAGGAGCAAGCACGGGCGCGAGCTCACGAGAGCTCGACGTCCGTGCTGATTGAAGAGCTCCCGGCGGAGGAAGTTACCGCGCGCGCGTCGACAATATCTGGCATCGCGCGCGGCGATGCCACGCCGCTGCCTGGACCCCCAGCGGGATCTATCCCGCTGAAGGCCCCAACAACATCCATCGGTACCCAGACGGAGGAGGGTACCACCGACGCGACCTGGCGCCCCAGGTTCACCAGCCAGACATCCCCGTCTGGCGAACGAATCTGGGAGGAAATAGTAGAGGGGTTGAGGGAGGTTGAGCAAGGCTGGGCGACCCTTAACGCCCTCCAACGAGCCGTGTACGCCGAGTATGACGCGTACGCGGCAGCGGGACGCCACCCCGATGACAAGGACTACTGGGATAAGGTGGTGTCCCGCCGTCGCCAGTTCGCGTCGGCACTCAAGGAAGTGCAGCGGCGTCACCGCCAGGCCCTCGAGGGCCCGGCGAGTGACATACCCATGGGCCTCTCCCAGCCCCCGATCGTCGGAGCCGGAACAGCGGCTCCGGAGATCTGGTCGGGGGCCGCGCCACTCCAGGGCTCGCAAACGTGCGGGGTAAACCTGGTGGTGAACGTGGACGGCGGCCAGGGGGGTCACGCAACGGGGCCCATCCATATCAATAGGGTAGTAGGGCCCGCGGATGAGGACCCCGCGGTCGAAAGACCGCTGTGGTCCACCCCGAACCGCAGGGACGGGTTGCCACTGACCCCCAGGGAACGAGGCCTCCCACGGGGCACTCTATCCCGCGCTCAGTGGGAGGGGTGCAACGTGTGCCACTACCCCGGGGTGATCCGCACGGACCGTTGCCCCCGTGTACGACGGCACGCCGACCTGGTTCAAGAGAGGCTGGGATGGGAGGCGCGCGGTCGTCCCCCATTAGATGACCGAGGACAGGAGGGATCGCCGAGACCAGCCAGGTGATCTTTCCCGGCCCCCGTAGGCAAGGCCACACCTATATTATTCCGTAGAATAAAAATTGATCTAAACACCACACGGACTATAACCCTTTATTACCCTTTCTCCTCTCCTCCCCGGAAGGGATAGTGCTAATAGGATTATCGTCAAGGACCCCGTAGGTTCAGACTGGAAGGGAGCTGTGACGGTAAACGTCAAATTAGCGTAATAATATAACCTAATTGCTGCCTGCGGGGGCAGCACCTACCGGGGAGACGAAAAACGTAACGAAGGAATTAGGCGCGCGAGCAGACGGAACGCGCGCGATTGAAATTGAACTAGTGAAGCTCTAACCACCATCACGCTTGCCCGCAAGTGAAGCATTGACCACCATTACGCTCGCCCGCTTATCATTTTTGCTATTACCGATCCGTGTGCCGTTAACGCCAAAAGGAACGAGAGAGGAACGCCCAGATCAGTGCCAGCTAATAGTGATTGCTGTTGCCGATGTGCCATACATCTGCAGAAGGGAGAGATCCGAGCCGACGGAGAAACGTCGTCCTGAACGAGATCGAAAGAGTGTGTGTGAGGTTTTACCATCGAGGGCAAAACCGCGTGTACGCGAATTCGCGATCCGCGACACAAACTCGAACAATCTTCTCGCTGTGCGACTCGCTATTGTCCACCTCGTACGTCTGCAATATAAATGTAAGCTGGCCAGCTTAATTTCGCGATCGCGACATAATTGCATATATAATGATTAATTTTCCGACATCTCAAGCGTGCATGTAATAGCTCTTCCAACAAAGAGCAGCGAGCGTTCCGACACTGCATGTTGTCGTCGTGCGAGCGTCAAAGTAAATAAACACGCGGGCCGACCTGATGTAGCATATAATAGATAATAAAAGGTTCTGTTCGAGTCATTAACAAGTGCTCCCGACTCTCTTATTTCATGTTGCTTTCACTCACTTTCTCGTAGATAAATAGATCTATTGGTTGACTGACGCCTGTTTCCCCATGCTCTCCAGATTATGTATTGAGCATAGATAATTACATTCGCCTTTCAATAAAGTTGCCCGAATAAAAGTAATTAAACGGTATCCACCCCGTTACACTATATAAAAATTTACATGATAACTCATGTTTGTTTATTTGTTTTGAATTAAGTAGTAACTCGTAACGTTGTTTTCAGATTTATCTAAAAATCGATTTTTAGAGCTACCAGAAGAGGTAACAGAGTTGAAATTTCTAGAAAAGCTCTATCTATATCATAATGCCATACGGATCATACCAGAAAGCGTGTCTATGCTGCAATCTCTCACATATCTTGATCTCAGGTTAGTTCGCGTACAAATATTTTAATGAACTTATATTTTCTTTTATCAGAGCCCACAAGAAATTAATATTACGATCGTGTTGTGTGAATGAAATTTTTTATTATTCGAAAGAAAGAAATAAACAAAACATATTAATCACTGATTTTAATACAGTGAAATTTAATATGAAGTATATAAATCTAACGCAAAATCTGGATGGTATTTTAACTATTTTCAATATATTTTTCATTAATTCAACATTGAATAAATATTTGACTTTTATACAGAACATTACTTTAGTAAGTGATCATATCGTACTGTTCATTCCTGTTTGATCTAAATTGAAAATATCAGTTTTATCGAAAAACGAAAGATTTAAATAAAACCTGTTGTGAAATAATCTTTTTCAACTCGTATATAGCAGTAACGTTGTATTGTACTTGTTTGGAACAAGCGCGCACCCAGCGCCCTGCCGCTACCAGCGTGCGGCAGGGCCGATCGCTGACGCCTTAGAGAGAGGCCGACAGGGAGCGCTCGACAGTGACCTCTCCCGACAGGAACCTGTTTTCCGAGCTTTTCTTTTGTCCTGAACGCCTCGACGGACTGACGATCAAGTGCTCTCCAGAACGTGTCTCATTTGTTCAGAGTGTAATCCGATTTGAGTTAAGCAGAATAAACCGAATCGAAACACCCCCGCCTTTTCCTTCACCTTCTGCGCAACATTGGTCCTTCGAGCCGGATTCCAGCCAAAAGAGGAAATTCAAGGTGAGTAAACTCAAACTATCCCATTGCAATAGCGGACGCCCATCATGTCCTCAAGCCTCTCTGGTGCGGGCAGAGAGGAAGCCAACTGCGCAGCATTGCGCAAGGCTCAACAGAGAACCGGATCACGGGTCATTCGTTAATGAATACGGGCGTCACGGCGGGCGGCTGCCGTCGACGAACTCTTGGGTTACGCGTCGGCCCAGCGACTCACAAATATGGCGTCTGGGCGAGTGGCGCGCGACGGCGACCACCGACTCGGCACAACAAGCGCCACGGCTGTGAACACTTGAGACGCGTGAGGAACCGCCGGGATACAGAGCGGGCGTCGTAGCGGGCAACGTTCGACGATGATAGCATCAACTCGGCACGGCGGGGGCTGGGCGAGCGGTCGCCCACACGAGGTCTTTGTGCACGCTGGGTCCTGCCTGGGCGCGCGCACACACTGGGGGTAACTGGGGGGTGGACCATCGGATGCGAGGACGACGCAACGGCCGACACCTCTGCCGCGCCTGCCGATGCAGCCGATGAATTCCCCCCCCTTTTTCTCTCTCTTTCAACGACAGCGCGCCTGGGCGGATCCAGCGGCGCGAAGAAGAGCCCACCATATTTCACGTTCAGAACGACGCATTGGCGAGGCGCTGCGGCGCAGCAGCCGACGAAACTACAGGCCCTCGAGCACACGACGGCAGGCGGACCGCCGAGCGCGTGACGAGCCATCGGGCTGGCCGATCCAGGCATCGTGTCGACTGCGCTTGGCGGACCCAACTGCGGGCCGGGTGAGCCGGTATGACTCATCCTGATTCTCACATGACTCCCTCTCTCACAGATGGAGCTCATCCCAGTCCAGCAGGAGCTTGGAAAGGCCATCCGTCGGATCGCCGAAAAGGTAGCTGACACGCCGACAGCCTCTTGGACTCTCGGCGCCATCGAGACTCGGTTAGATCTACTCGAGGGCTACTGGAACAATCTGAACGGCAACCATGGCCGACTGTTGACTTCATCGGAGGCCGCCGCCTTGGAATACTTGGCAGGCAATGACTACGCGGTCGCCGAGGAGCTTTTCATGGAGAGTAAGAGCACTCTCCTGGACCACCACGTCCGCTGGATCGCGTCTGAAGACCGCTCATCTTTGACTGCTACTTCCTTGGAGGCCGCCTCGGATCCGACATTCCCGGCCGTGAAGCTGCCGCGCCTCCCCATACCCACCTTCTCAGGAAAGCCGGAGGACTGGGAGTCGTTCAGGGATCTGTTCCTCGACCTCGTGCACAACAACAGCACGCTGGGGATCGCCATGAAGATGAACTACCTCAAGACGCACGTCGAAGGAGTGGCCAAGGATGCACTGGCGCCCGTCCGCTCGGTCAACGGCGACTACGCGCAGGCCTGGGAGGCATTATGTCGACGCTATGACCAGCCGCGCCTGCAGGTGAAGGACCACCTGGCCGCCTTGGTGAAGCTGACCCCCATCGCCGAGGAATCGCCGGAGAGCCTTCAGACTTTGCTGGACGAGCTAAACAAGCGCCGCACGCAACTCGAGCGGCTCGGTCGGCTAGTCGGAGCCTGGGGTGACTGGTTCGTCTACATGGGGTGCCGCGCCTTAGACTCAGTAACCATACGAGCCTGGGAGGAACACATAGAGCAGCGGACACGTATCAACAGTTAAAGCGACCTTTGAAGAGTTCGTCGAGTTTCTTCAGCGGCGCTACTGCACACTGAGGGCTCTGGGTCAAACCCTCAGCACTTCCTTTCACTCCCCGGCCGATAAACGGAAGTTTTCGAGACCGGCAGACACCCTGACGATACGCGCCCACGCTACTGGAGCGTCTCAAGTGAAGGGAGGATGCCCAGCCTGCAAGGAGACCCACTACATCGGCCATTGTTTCACCTTCCGAGGCCTCGACTCTGAGGAGTGACGGAAACTTGTGGCCGCTCGGGGTCTTTGTTATATTTGCCTCAGCGGGAGCCACACCGCCAGGAACTGCCCCCCCCCAGCGGCACCTGCCGAAGCTGCTCCGGAGCGCATCATACCCTCATCCACGAGGGCGTTCCAGATGAGGGGAAGAAGAGCCTCGCCCATCGACCTCGGGGGAGACACCGACCACGCAGCTCCAGACGGCTTCCACCGGCGCACCATCCCCAAGAGACGACGGTTCCGCATGACTGGCCGTCCTCCCCACCGCCCTCGTCCCTATGAGCAGCGACAGGGAAAGAAGAGAGCTTGCCCGAGCGCTCTTAGATCCATGCTCAGAGGCCACTCTCATAAGCCTCGACCTCGTCCGCAGACTCGGCTGCCAATTCCGCCGAACGAACGCCAGCATTACCGGGGTTACGGGTCCAGCTATTGACTCAGCCAGACATCAGGCGACTGTCTACATCGTCGAGCTTTCCGGCGGCCCTTCGATCAAGACGGGGGCCTTCGTTCTGCGCTCGCTCGGCATCATTACTCCTTCGGCAATGCCCGGCCCAAAACTCTCTCTGCTCAAGCGTAAGCTCCTACTCGCAGACCCGACCTTCCACCGACCAGGCCGGATCGACGTCGTGATAGGGGCAGACATCTACTACCGCATCATCAGAACCGGCACGAGGAGATTCGGACAGCTTGTCGCCCAGAACACGTCATTCGGCTGGACCGTGATGGGCTCCGCTCACTCCAAACAGGCAAGTGTCGTCCGTCAAAGCATCCAGACCCACGCCGTCTCCGCTCGCGCCACGAGCGATCTGAGTCACGAAGAACTGCTCACACTGGTCCAGCGCTTCTGGGCTCTCGAGGAAGTGCCGGTCGCGAGGAGGATCTCCACGGCTGACCAAGAGTGCGAAGCGATCTACGCGCGAAGCGTTCGTCGCGAGACAAGCGGACGATACGTCATTCGGCTGCCGCTGAAGCCCGAACGCGCCGCCTTGCTCGGTGACAGCCTACTCCACGCCCGCTCCGCCCTCTTCTCTATGCAGAGGCGAATGCTCACCGATCCAACGCTGCGCGAGAGTTACCAGGAGTTCATGGAGGAGTACGTTCGACTGGACCACATGAGATTACTCTCGGAGTCGGAACTTCAGGAGAACAGAAGCACCGTCTACTACGTGCCGCACCACGGCATCTGGCAGCGCAGCGACAGCGGCCCTAAGCTCAGGGTCGTCTTCAACGCCTCTCGAGCCACCTCTTCCGGAATCAGCCTCAACGACGCCCTCCATGCCGGCCCAAAACTGCAAGGGCACATCTCCACCATACTAACCCGCTGGAGGAGGCACCGATACGTCTTCTGCGCAGACGTGCAGAAGATGTTCTGTCAAGTACTCATAGACGACCGAGACATCCGCCTTCAGCGCATCGTCTGGAGCCCCACCGCCGGCCTGCCGCTGCAGCACTACGCCCTACGCACGGTCACCTACGGCACCGCTTGCGCACCCTACTTGGCCTTGCGCACGATGAAACAGCTAAGCGACGACGAGGGCGAAAAGTTTCCGCTCGCACGAGAGGTTTTACAGCAAGACCTTTACATGGATGACTTTCTGAGCGGCGGCCATGATCTAGACACCACCGGGAATATCAGAGACCAACTCATCGGCCTCCTAACTGCGGGCGGGTTCCACCTGCGTAAATGGGTAGCCAACGACCCTGCTCTCCTCGAGGAGATCCCCCCCGATGATCGACTCCGGCCTAGCTGGGTACAGCTGTCTGCCGAGGGGCCGGTCCGAGAGCTCGGCGTGGCCTGGGACCCGGTGGAGGACAATTTCAAATTCGGCCCCGGGAACCCCGAGACATCTCCCCGGCTCACCAAAAGGACAGCGCTGGCAGAAATTGCCGAGATCTTTGACCCCGTCGGCTGGCTCACACCGCTTACTCTCGTGACCAAGCTCCTCATCCAGGACATGTGGCGAGCCAAGCTAGATTGGGACAAGGATCTGCCCAAGGTTTGGACCAACAAGTGGCTCACATTCCGGACGAGCATCCACGAAACGACGGGATTTGCCATCAGCCGCTGGATTGGCCATTTCCCCGGCCAGGAGCTCCAGCTCCACGCATTCTCAGATGCAAGTTGCCGAGCCTTAGCCGCCGTGGTCTACTCTCGAGCGGCCGAGGACGGCGGGCGGGGATTCACGACCATCATCGGCGCCAAGTCCAAGCTGGCTTCGATCAAGAGCCTTATGCCGGCTTCCGAAAAGCGCGCCAGAATGACGATCCCACGCCTGGAGCTGAGAGCCGCGCTCATCGCGGCGCAGCTCTTACGGAACGCGTCAGCCGCCCTCTCCGTTCCACT